AGTCTTCTGTATCCGGGATAGGATGAAGAGTAAGTCGGACGGGAGAACAGGTGTGAAGTTTTAGCGAGAGGAGTGATTGTCACCAATCAGTGTTGATGGGTACATTTCAGTCTGGAATAAAGTCTTTCATGTCTAGCTAACCAACTCTGTACTGTTGAGCACTTTTACCAATGATTTGCATGACATTGTAGAAGGTGTGCTTATCATTCCACATGCAGGAAGGGATAGTTAATGTTTTTAAAGCAAAAATTAAGATGGAGAAAGAGCTTATGAGGCAGGAATTACAGGCTGAAAGCAAGGAGATGATGTTGAATAGAGAGAAATATAAATTTATACTGTTGGAGTAAAAGGCAGACTGTACAAGTGAGGAAGATGGAACTTAAAAGCATTTTATGTCGGGGGGGAAAAAGGAAAGTTGGACTGAAAATTCATCAGGTGTCAGTGTTACGATACACTTGAGGAAAAAAAGAAAGAAGAAAAGAAAAGGGAGGAAAGGAAGAAAGGAAAGAAGGGAGAGACAGGGAAGGAAAGAAAAAGGAAGGAAGGAAGGAAGGAAGGAAGGAAGGAAGGGAAGGTAAGGAAAGGAAGGAAGGAAGGAAGAAGGAAGGAAGGAAGGAAGGAAGGAAGGAAGGAAGGAAGGAAGGGTGGGTAACTGCGACCTTAGCCTCAGGACTACAAGGCCGGTGTCCAGATGAAGGGGGCGATGGTTCACCCCACCCTGGAGAAGCATGTGAACTTCATAAGCGGGGAAGAGCATGGATTTGGAGCTCCTCTGTGAGCAAGGCTAGCATGCTGAAGAAAAGTATACACCTGCAAAACAGAAGACCTGGGGAGGGGCGTGACTATTGTCTTTAATATTTAAAGAATTATCATGCCAAAGAAAGTTGGTCTCATGCTGAAGCAGGACAAGGGCGGGCGTGACAGAGAGACAGATTTCCCCTTCAGGTACAGGAGCTCTCTCAGTGAGAACTGCCCCGGAAGGGAAAAGCAGCCTTCCGCAGGAGTGGTCAGGAACAGAAGGAGAGCCTGCCTGTCAGAGACGCCTCACAGCACCGCAGGTTAAACCAGTTGACCCCCAAGGCCCTTTCCAGCTCTGGGACATGATGAGACCCTTGGGTGAGGAAGATGCTTCTGATTGAGGAAAGTCTACCCAGAGTCCTGTAAATGCATCGTGGAGGTCGCCATCTCCTTTGCCAGTTTAATAAATCTGGCCCTGCGTTCTGGGAACTGCTCTTGGGAGAGATCACGGCGGCCATGACATGCGGCGCTTGGAAAAGAGCCAGCATTTTCTCTTACGCGTCTTCTCACAGAGATGTCACCGCCGCCAACATTTCTAGAGGAATGCGGCTCCCGTGTGGTCTTGCCCTGGAGCACAGGCAGGACTGGGCAGAGGAGGGAAGGGACAGCGAGGGGGTGGCTGCCGTCCCTGGGAATGGTTTCTCCTGAGCTCAAAGGCAGCCGGCTGGGCAGCGTGAGGCTGGCAAGACCCAGCCCAGGCACAAGCCAAAGAACGGACCAAAACAGCCAAGGGCATGATCTACAAGGTGAAAACTTGTCAGGAAAGAGCAGCAAGAAGCAGTAACGGGGCATGTTCTGAGGAAGGCCGTCCCAACAGCCAAATGGTCTCTGGGTGGGGACCTTTCGCTGACGACCACTGATACAGAACAAATTAAGTGTCTGCAAGGGGTTCTTGCCCACACTGCCCCGTCTGTCTCGAATATTCTCCCTCCCTCCATGTTTGTCTTGTGGGGTCTTGCTCATCCTCCAAGGCCCATACCCTTGCGGTACCTTTGTCATCTCCAATTTGAAGACATTTCCCACTGCGGCACTCGTGTGCTCTGCCTGGACTAAGGTGAGCTGTATTTGTGCACGGTGGGTTTCCTCCTCTAGGCAGCAAGCTGCGTGAGGGTAGAAAAAGGTTCTTTTTGCCCTTTTGTTCTATTATTGGCCTTGCATACTGGTGGCAAGATGGCAGCTGGTAGAGCATTAAACTGCTGGTCCAGAGTTCTAGTCCTGGCTTGTTTACCCACTCCTCTAGGCCTCGACCTCCTGAAGAGTAAGGTGAATACAGTGGCAGATCCCTAAGGTCCATTCAGTCTAACACCCTTGTGATTTTATTCAATAAATGTTGTTTTAAGGCATTTCCCCCTTTATTGCTAAAGTCAAATATTGTTCATCTTATGGTCTGCTCACATTTCTGGATCTTTTTCTGTTGTTGTCAAACAACCATCCACTCTCTACCCATCTGTCCATCCATCCATCCATCCATCCTTATGGTTTCCTGCCGACATTTATTGACTATCTGCTTCGTGCTAGGTCACCAAAAAAGACTAAGATGGGTATGTTGCTCTTACGGAGGGCACAGGTACGGCAGGGGACAGAGCATGAAAAACAAATAATGCAAATACAAGGTGATAAATGCCCCACCAGACGTGAGTGTAAACGGTGCTGGGCCCACAGGAAGGGAGGAATGGGGAGAAGGAAGCTGGTTAAAATACCAAAGCCCCCATCACCCTCATTTCTACCTATGAGCCTAAGGCTGAAACCCTTTCTCTTGGCAAATTATCCTAATACAGCCCTGGGAAGAAAGGTGGGATCTGCGTACAGTGGAAGGAGGTGGGGAGAGAGGCCTGGTCTCATGGTCCCCAGAGAGCCCCTGGTCAGGCCTAGCATGAGCCCCAGACCCCTCCGCAGCTGTGCCGGGGTCTCGAAGGTCCAGAGTCTGCATTTTCAAGCTGCTCGCCTCTGCGCCACCCCCACTGCAGCGGCACACTCGGCAAGTCATTTATTCCTCCATAACATTTGCTCGAAGGAACGTTACCGCTGAATTATAGCTGGGACCATTATCTCACAATAACTGTCTGGGAAATGTTAATGTTAATGCATGGATCATGCAGAATGCCACATTAGGGGTTTTATGGTGGACATAACATTTTTATGAACTTTTTCTCTGGTAGCACCAGCCTTTGATGGAAAGAAAAGAAAAAAAGAAAGAAAGGACAGAGCGGGAAGGAAGAAAGGAAAGCCAGCCCGGGAGAAGCGGCTCTGGGAGCAGAGGCCGCCTTCAGTAGCACCTGGGGCTGCATCACTGAGCGCCCTGGGGGCGGGCCTGCCCTGGCAGCGCTCCAGGGGGTTGAATATCTTCAGCGTTAGGTATTTGTGAGTAGGGAGAAACCAGCCAAATTGGCAACTGGAGGGAGACAGTGTCTACTGGGGCAGACCCATAAAACTTCTCAGCCTTTGCAGCCACCTGCCGCCAGGTGGGCATTCAGTGCCACTGGGGGTGAGGGAGGGGTGGGAAGGGATGTGAGAAGCTTGGTGGGGTGGTCACCATACCCCCTGGGTGAGAGGAGGGGTCCCTGGCAGAACCGCTTTAGGGGCTAACCTTGGGGAGCGATAGCTAATGGCTTAAGGAGATTTTAATTTCTGCCATTAAAGAAAAAAAAGGAAAAACACAATCTTGGGAATGGCAGTATTTTACACCTGGCTTTTAAAAAGGACTAATAAAGGCAGTGTTTAGCATTTTATATCCTTGCTCAAAAATAACGATCTTTGGTTCTCATCTCAGACATATTCTAAGTGAGCCTGTGTCTCCTACCTCAAGAATATTCTTTCAGGAGGCTGGATTTATAGCTCTGTTCTCTACCTGCCCTGGGCTCCAATTTAAGTGTCATAACTGCTGCATTTCGGTCGGGTTCCCTCTTCTCTCCCCTCCCTTCCACCTTTGCAGTCGTCCCCGATGCTGTCACTGCAATTTTTCTTCCAGACAGGGTGCTGTTTAGCTCCTGACCCTGCAAGACACCTGACACCTGTTTACAGCCATTCCTTTGAGCACATTAAAATGTGGGCTGGGGTGGGTGGCCAAGCTGCTGAGCAGCCCCCTCTCCCGCTATGCCGGATCTCTGCCCAGGGGAGGCCCTAAGAATCGGCCCCACCTAGACCATGAGCACCTCTTACCTGGGGCAGGTAGGGTGGGAGGCTAGAGGGTACATGTATGGTCTCTGAAGCACGAAGTGGCTCAGAGACTGGGCGGGAGGTTGGCTCTTTTGAGAACTCAGTTGTGGGCTTGCTGAGCGACCTCTGAGCAAATTAGCATGGCTGGGTAAAAAGGACCCTTGCTCCAGGTTCCAGTTCTAGAATAGTTTGCCTGGCTGCGTGACGTTACACAGGTCACTAGCCCTCCAGAGGTTGTGACTCCACTGTCAAAGGCTGAGAGCAGAGCAGCAATCCCTGAGAGCTCTTTCTGCTGTGGGATCTCTGGCTCTTTGCCCATCCAGACCGTCTGGAGCTGTACACTGGAGCTGGTCAGGTGGCTGTCTTGTCCATCTTTGAGGCAAGGTGTATGCTGTGGTGTTGGGCCAGGTGGGTTCAAATCCAGACTCCGCCACTGACTAGCTCAGGGAACTTTCACGCTTTTTGGAAACCCTTTTGATTTCCATTTCCTTGCATGTAAAAAGGAAATCACAATACTACCTCGTAGGTTGGCTTCACGAGGCTAATGTGCCTTCTAACACACTCGGCAGTTTACCCGTGTATTACATTTATTGTCTGATGTTCCACATGGCAGGGATCTCGGTTCGTTTTTTTCACAGATGGATCTTTAATGCCCAGGACCGTACCTGGCACATAGTAGGCCCTTAGTTAATATATAGCAAAATGAACGAATGCCCAAGAGCGCCTCAGTACCCCCACCTCACCCTGCACAGACCCCTGGGTATTCGCCATGAAGCTCTCCAGAGAAGGACACTGCAAAGGCTTACGGGACTTTTCAAGCCTTTTGACAGAAAAGGCTGGTTTAGGCGACATTTCGTGTATTCACAACCTGAAATGCAGAGGAATTTGCACCAGCTCCCCTTTCTGTCCCCCGCAGGACAAAAAGCAGGTGCACCTGGACCAGGCAGCCGGCCGAGGCCCCTCCCATTTCCAGGCGCCCCCTCCCGTGCCTCCCAGGCTGCTCCCCACCTCCTCGGGCTGCCACACACTGGCTCCTGGGGACCCCCTCTGCCATATGTTCCATCCAGCTCTAAACTGCATGCTAATTGTTCTGAATGAACAGCTCCAGCTGGAAAAGCAGGCAGGCCGTTTATAGACCTTAAGATAACACCCAGCTTCCCGTAAGTGAGGGGTTTCCAGGGAAGGAGAATGGAAAGTCTTTTCGGGGCCAGAACTGGGCGAGATGGGCCCTGGGGCTGGGGCTGCAGTCCAGGGCATCATCTCTTCTTGGTCTCTACCCAAGTGGGCCGTTTCCGAGCAGCCCCACCTGACAGCCTCTGTGGCGGCCCAGAGGTGTTCCCCGGACCCAGCAGGCAAGCTCCCTGCAGGTGTGGGGAGCCCCTTCCGGCCCGTTCTTTTCCACTTCTAGAATCCAGCAACACCCTAGTCAGCCGTTTGGGGTTGGCCCAGATGAAGCCGCAGTGACTGCCGCCCGGCTCAGGTAGGTCACGCACCTACCTGGGGAAGCAGGGAAGGGGGTGTTGATGAGGGAGGGAGGGGGTTCCACAACGGGGGTGAAAACACACGCATCCCTCCATGTGCTCAGCCTGCACAGCACCCCTTCAGTGGGGGGGGGCTTTTTCTGTGTCATCTTCCTAGGGCCTGCCCCCGCATGTGAGCCCAATTGCTCCCTATTTCTGTGATGCTGAGGCAGCTCTGTCCTCCATTTCTGTCAGCGTTTCCCAAGCACAGAAGGAGAAATGTTGAAGTGGCGGTTTTCTGATGAAGGAGGCAGGTAAGCGTGATGGAGTCGTGGGGTGGGTAACATTGAGGCTGGCCCCCCTGATTCCTAGGGGAAGAGGCCCAGGCAGGCTGCAGCCAGGGGGCGCCCCACCCTGCACCCCGCATCCTTTCCTGGGCTGGGGCCTGCCTGGGGACACGGGGGCATGGGGGTGGGGTGGGGCTGTGACCAGAATGTTGGAGGCTGGGCCTAGTGCTGTGTGTCCAGGCAGGGCACTCACCCCGCACCCCCATCAGCTCGTCTGTAAAAGGGAGGGCCATGCGACACTGGCCCTGCTTCCCTCGGGGTGGGAGGAAAAATACACATGAAAGGCTGCGAAAGCTGAATACCAAAATTCAAAAGTGCGGGCTGTAGGTTATGTTGATACTGGGGCTTAACCACTCGTAACCAGCGGGGGTTAAGGTTCCGGAAGATGCGGAGACACAGCCCTCTGCGGGACAGAATTTTCCCGCCTGGCTCTCAGCGCCCAGCATGTGAGCAGCAGGAGAGCCGCTGGTGGAGCCAGGCGCGGCTGCCCCCACCTTCCTTCTAGAAGGCTGGGCTGGCCCAGGCCTGAGCCCTTAGGAAGGGGTCTGCCCTGTGCTCTCCTGTCAGGCGTGGGCATGTACCTGAGAGTGATGGCTCCTGGCAACAGGGCAGAGTTGGAGACAGCCTTGTTTTAAACATGTCCAGATACTTGGAGGGCGACTCAGTCCTACTGGCCACATGGCCCCAGAGGACGGCCGAGAGCTCCCCAACAGCCAGAGGCTGGCTTCCCCAGAGGCCTGCGAGCGCAGCTGCGGCAGGGCAGCGTATGGGCCAGCCTGCTGAAGGTGGCGGGCTTGTGGGCAGCAGCCTCACAGCTGGGGTTTCCCTTGCCGGCGGCTTGGGGGGGGGGCCCGGCCGGGGGCCTTGGGTTCGGCGTGTTCTTGGGTTCTTCGTTGGTTTGCCAGGGGTTGTTCGGTTCGGGGCCGGGGGGTTGGTTCGGTTTTTTTTTGCTTTTCCGGCCCCAAGTCGTTCGAGGTCTGGGCCCAATGTAGCCACTCAATATATGTCACCCACACTGTCCTCTTCACCCGCAATGCTTGTGCCCCCCTCCTCGGCCAGTAGAAATCGTGCACATGGCCTTCGCTGCGAGGCCTCCCTGGACATCCCCAGGCGGCAGAGCACCGCGCCCACCCTGGCTCTGGGTTCTCCAGGTGTGTGGGGAGCTGTGTCTGGGGCGCCGTGGCCGCTCTCAGCTCCCGGGCAGACAAGCATCAGATCAGCCCTGAGCTCCCTGCAGCCAGGAGCTCACTGATGCACACTGGGATCTCCCGAAAGAACAAGCACCGAACTTTGCCCGCAGTAGGTGCCTAGTAAATGGTGGCCAAAATGATTTGGTGGAGCAAATGTATAATTGCACACTTTTCCTGGCTTACATTACATCTGTGAAATCGACACCCAGAAAGGGAGAATGAGAAAGATGGCTTTGCCTCCCGAAGGTTGCCCTGGGAAAACACTTTTGTCTCCCTCCCCACTGGGCTTGGACAGCTTGCCTCATGCCCAAGCCTGGTCCACCAAACCCAAACTGTTTTTTAGCAACAATGAAACAATAGAAGATCTTTTGACATTTCCAGGGCTATTTGGAAGAAGGAAAGATAATATATAATAAATTCATATACTTCTGTGTGTTTCTTGGCTCTGGCAGCTAAAATTTCCATCTCTTTATGCAGGAGTCCTGGGGAGCTGAAATCCTTGATAATGCCAAACAATTCAACACTTTATTCTCTCTTTACTCTGTCTGCACCACAGAAAAATATCGACTTCTGCTGCCAGCTGTGGGAAGTGAAATCAGATGCCACATTCTTTCTTGCATGCAGAAGTCTGTCCTGCTCGGGAGGCCCTGTCGCTACCCAAGGGTCTGTGAGGGTGAGACTTTAGGACCCTACGTCTGGTCTAACCAAGGTGAAGGGCAGCCCGACCCTACCTGCTCCCAGGGCATATGCACTGAAGGATCTTGCACATCTGAGGTGTCCGAGGCGGACAGAGACACTTTGCCTCTGCCCTTCTGCCTCCATTGCTCATGGTCCTTTCCCAGACAGTTCCAGCAGTGGACTGGCAGCATCTGATCTGAGCTCCGAATAATGCTGCCTGAGCCAGAGCCCTGGAGATTGGCCAGCTGACGCCTCCAAGCTCAGATTCTCAACTTGTGCAGCACATTTTGGCCTGGGGCTAAAATAAGCATCTATTACCAGCACCTTCATTTCCTGGGGGAGGGGACTGGGGATGGAGTGCAAGACTCGCCCAGGGCTACACATTGCAATCTTGCTAGAGCTTGAAACCTCTTCTCCTGACTCTAGGTCAGAAATGTATTCATTTGTCAATCTATCCTTTGAGTCATTTAGAAATATTAAACGCTTGCAGTGTGTCAGGCACTGTGTTTGGGCACATGTAGCTTTCTCTGAATCCAGGAGCTTAGCTGTCAGGCGTCCCCATAGAGACAAAATGCAGGGCCCTCACTGTTAGGATCTGGGCAGGTTCTGTTAGGACAAATGACATCTGGCTTCAGAAGCAGGCATTTTCAACTGCTCCCCCTCACCGCACTCATGTCTCTCTCTTTCATGCACGTGCTCGCGTGCGCGCGCGCACACACACACACACACACACACACACACACACACTCTCTCACCTGCACTCCAGCCACCACCCTGGAGCACACTGAGTACCTGGAGCCTCTATTATGTTAATATAGCATTTCCCCCTTTTCCTGTAAGTGTGGTTAAGAGTCTGGGCATGGGAGTCCAAATGCCAGGGCCTTAATCTTCATTCTACTATTTGCCAACTTGAAGACTGTGGCAAGTTGTTTAACCTCTCTGTGCCCCAATGGCCTCCTCTGTAAAATGGGGATAATAATAAGACGCCTAGATAGGATTAAATGGGATGATACATGTAACGTGTTTAGCACAGTGCGAAGCACATAGTATTCAAAACCTGCTAGTTGTTTTGCTATTGCTATTGTTATTATTATTGCCATTATTATTAGTCTGGTAGGGAGTGGTCAAAAGAGGGATAAAGGTGAGTGGGAAAAGAGAAGTCTCCAGCCTTGGCTTAGCCATTTGGCTCTTTCCAAAGCAGACTCTCCAAAGATGTCATTCCAAAGTCAGGGTGTGAGCCACTCACGTGGGTCCCTTCCTGTCCCCTCTGCCACCCTCCACACTGCCATGCGGGAGACCCGATAGCTACAGAGCACAGGGTCAGCTCTCTTCCTCTTCTCTTCCTCTCCCTGCCCTGGACTCTCTCCAGAGGCCAGTAACCCCAGCCCTGGACAGTCACCCAGACAACACCAAGTGTTGTCTATTTAGTGGGGAGAGTCATCTGTCTGCCAGGCCCAAGGCCCACCTTATATCACGCACAGCACTGCCCTGAGGGGACAGCAGCCAAGGTGGCTCAGAAACAAATGGAGAGAGACGGGAAGAGACTGAGCTGGTTTGGGTCCTTCTGGGTTTGCTCCACAGCTTTCAGGGAGCCCCGTGGTCACTTCTGGCCCAGATCCCAGGCTCAGGAAGGCAAAGCCTCCTAGGAGGGAGGATGCGAGGAGATGCAGCCCTCTTCCCAACTCCAAGGTTCCTCATTCTCACCCTCTCCAGGTGGGGGAATAAGGAGGACATCAGGACAGTAACTTCGGGCTCCTACCAGTGCCGTTTGTAAAACATTTACACATCCCTTCATTTCTCCCAATGATCTTTGAGATCAACAAGGCAGATATAATTGATCCCATTTAATTGATAGATGTATTGAGGCTCAGAGATGCTAAATGGCTTGCCCAGGGTCATGAGGACGTGGTACTGGTAGGATCCACCCCCACTTCCCTGATTCCTGGTTGAGCACACCTTTCCTCCATCACCCTGCCCTTCGCCCTGGCCTTGGTCAGCTCTCCTTTCTCCATGGGCACAGATGGTGGGCTTGTCTAACCGGCTCCCTCATCTGGTGCCCAGGGAGGGGGAGGCAGCCAGAGCTACACACTCAGACAGTGTCTTGGCCTCTAACACGATAACCAGTGGTCAGGTGAGAACTAAGAAAGGAACCCACAGGGCATGAGGAGATGCTGGAAACAAATCAAAGGTCAGGAATCAAAATCTGAGACCACAGTTTGGCCTCTTCTGACAGCCCTGCAGCTTGGGCTGCATTCATTCATTCATTCATTCATTCAAAGTACTTATCCGGTACCTGACACTGCTAAGATCTGGCCTTTCAGCTGCTCAGAGCTTGGGGCCCCGAGCTCTGCCTGCGCACAGCCCAGGCCAAGTGTCCCCATGGGGCTGAGGGAACAGAACGGGGGCAGAGGCTCTGCTTTACCCTTCCTAGCATCAGGGCCGACCCTCCAGCTGCCGCTTCAGAGCTCAAGCCAATTTCAGAAAGAGCCGGCCAGGCTGAGGCAGCCCAGGTGTGCAGGGAGGGAGGAGGTGATGCTCCTACAACACTGTGACCAGTGTGCTGTTTCTAAGGTGCCCCATGTGGGCCCAGTGTGGGGACTCATACACAAGATGGCCTATAGAGCCAAAGCGTCACTCAGCAGGACGCTTTGCTTTTCCAGGTCTCCCGACACCCATCTGTAAGAGTAACCTGTGCAGAGCCCTTCATCTGCCTCTGCGTACACCACCACAGCCCCAGGCTACTAACAGCCTCTGCCCGTTTCCTTAATGCCACCTCCCGAGGGGCACTGACTTCCCCTCACTTCCGCTTATCCAGCCAGGCCTGCTCGACCGACTGCTGCCAGGTGCCCTTGCTGTGCGTGGGTCTTCCCAAGCCCTACAAGCCCTCTCTCCCCTCAAGCACAGGCTCAGCTCAGTCCAACAGTCACACGCTGAGTGTCTACTATGTGACAGGTCCCGCGATGTCACACACCAGCAGAGGTGATCAGGACTGTTTGTCCTCAGCAGGGTTACAATTTGCAGGGAGTTATGGAAACGTGACAGTGAGCTAATCTACAGGGAGGGTAATATGGGGCTCAAAATATGGGGAAGGGATGACCCTGAGCTGAGCTTCAAAGAATAAAAATGGAGTGGGGGAGGGGAGCATGTTCCAGACAGAGGAAATAGCATTTGCACGGGCAGGAAGTAGCACAGTGCATGCAGGACATGATGTCTGTGTTTATGAGGAAAGGGTGGCTGCAGATGAGGCTGGTGAGGCAGGCAGAGGGCCCATGTGCCAAGCTCAAGAGTTGGGTTTTTATCCTTCCAGGAACAGCCAATTTTCTTAAATGCGCAGCGTTCATTCGCAAAGTCACCTCAAACATCACCTCCTCCAGTGAGCCTTCTCTGACTTCTCCAAAATGAAGCACTTTTCTACCTTCTCTTCCTGGCTGATGAGTTCCTGCCTCTATTATAGCACTTACCACATGCTCTAAGCTTTTGCTTCAATGGCTGTTGACACCACTAGACTGGAGAGCAAGAATTGTTTTCTGCTCAATTTTAGATCCCCCGAAACTAGCAGAGCGCCGGACATACTCAGGCGCTTAATAAATGTTTTATGGATGAACGAATGAGAACAAATTGAACTAAAATGTTCTATTCCTTGCTACCTGCTTGCATTCTGAACCTTTAAATAAATAAATATTGATCATATCTCTACTTACCTGTTTCCTCATCTATATAATGGGAAGAATAATATTCTAAGGATTGGTATGACGAGTAAATGATATAACATAAGTCCAAGTGCTTACGGTACAACTTAGCACATAGTAAGCACCTGTAAATGTTAGTTTCACTTCTCTTTCATTCAACTCATATTTATTAATCATCTACTTTGTGTCAGGCACTGTTCTAGGCAATGGGTTTAATGCAGCGAACAAAACAAACTCCTCCTCTTCACAGGACATACTTCTAATTGGGAGAGACAGATAGTAAATAAACAAGTAAACACATAGCATGCCAGATGGAGCCAAGAGCCGCGGAGAAAAACAAGCCAGAATGAAACGGATCGAGAGCACCAGGAGTCGGGAGGGGAGGGGCTTGCTCTTTTACGTCAGGTAGTTAGGTGGCCACATTGGTCAGTGACAGTGGACCAGAGACTTGAGGAGACCTAGGAGGGCATCTGGGGGATCATGTGTTGGAGGCACGGCAGGGAGGCCAGCGTGGCTAGAGCAGAGACAGCCAGAGATGTGCCTGAACCAGCAGAGAACCGGATCAGGGAGGGCCAGTGGACCACAGGGAAGACTTTGAATGGTCACTCTGAATGAAAGAGGAATCCACTGGAGGCTTTTGAGAAGAGGAAAGACATGATCTGATTTTCATTGTCAGTGGAGACCCTGGCTGCTGGGTGGAGCACGGACTGAAAAGGGAAGGGTTGGAGCAGGGTGAGAGGTTAGGAGGCTGCTGCAATGATCCAGGCCGGGGACAGTGGGGACTTGGGCCAGGTGGGAGCAGAGGAGGCAGAGGAAAGTCAGGCCTGGCGAGGTTTCTGAAGACATGGGTGGGAAGTCTCTTCAGAGGTGACCTCTCTCTCCCAAGGACTTTCATCTGGACGGGACGTTTCCTTTGGACGTCCAGCTGTCACCTCATGTTCAAGTTGTGCTAGAACCTTCCCCCTCCTTCAGTTTTTCATCCTACTTTGCTCATTTCTGTCAGGGGCATCATGGTGGTCCCAACGCTCAGGTTCCAAGCCCCAGATTCATCCTTGGCTTGTTCCTCGCGCGAGCGAATGTTGCCGTCTGCAGCCCCGCCTCTAGCTTTGCTGTCCGTCAGTCCTCCTGGAGGCCACTGCCAGACTGATCCAACGAAAGCATGGCCTTTACTATTTCACTGTGCAAAAACTCCAAGTGGCTCTCACGCCCAACAAGGGCGTTCCAGTTCTTTAGCCTGCTGGTAACTGTTCCCCATAATCGCGTCTCACCCTTCACTCTTAGGGGACCCCAATACTCCACCCCGAGGCACGTGGTGGAGGGCACTAGCAATTACTGTGCAGTCAGTATGCGCTGTTTGTTATCTCATGCGATACCCATAGCAGCCTTGCCTGGTAGGCATTAACCTGCTCATTTTGCACAAGAACAAGTGGATCTCAGTAAGAGCAACTGACTGGAAGTGACAGAACTAGTGAATAGCAGGCCTGGGATTGGCTCTCAGGCCTTTCTCACTTTCCAGCCCCCACTTTTTCCATCTTACCACACCGCATCCTACGCACACGTTAACCTTTCCTACTGTGGCGAGCTGGCTGGTGGCTTCCTCCTTGCTGGCAATGTCGGGCCACAGCGCCTCTCCACCCCGCCCTGTGTCCTCTACAGCCCGGCTCACACGGCTCCTTGTCCCCCAGCCTGACTGCTCCCAGCTCCTCTAATCGGCACTGACTTCTCCTTTCTTTGCATACACAAGTCAGGTTTTTCTTTTTTTTTTTTAGGCTGGTCAAGTCAGCTCTTCCCTGTACCTTTCTTCTGGCCACTGGCTATAGAATGTCTTCCATGACTCTTGTGGATTGTAAGCTCCATAAGATCAGGCTTCTGGGCATCCCATAGCTCACTGTCAGGCCCAGAGGAGACAGCCCATAAATACTTGTGCGAATGAAGATACAATAAAAACTAGTTCCTTAGTAGAAATATTGAAAACAACTTCGAGCAGGAATCATTTGTGTTTCTGTTTAATGTGTTAATTTCCTCTAGTTAACATGGAAATAATTGCCTGAAATTACAAGTTAAGTAGAACAGTGATGTTAGGAAGTTTTGTTCTTTAAGGAAAATATTATTATAACATTAGTGGCCGCGAACCACAGAGTTCAGTTGGGGAGACGACTTCCTTCCTAACGCAGTTTTCCATTGCTCAAAATGTTCTGAAACATTCTGATTTTTTTTTCCTCCTTCAATCAACGGTGGGGGAAATGAGATTAAAGGTAATATCCATAGCCATTTTGAAGACATTTGAGTAAGAGGTAAGAGGGAGATGGGAGATGTTGTATTTCCCCAGGGATGAAGTGTGTGTAAACTACTCAAACGAAAAGGAACTTCATGTGAGACTGATCATCAAGGAGGACTGATTCTTCCCAGAGTTTAAAGAGACAAGATTTGCAAAGACAAACAGGGATGTCCTCTGGACAGGCCTGAGCAATAACAACACAGGTGCCCAGAGGGTAAGAGGGCAAAGCTGCCAGGTGCACAACCTGGACATCAGTCCAGGAGGCCAAAGAACAAGGAAACAGACTGTTGAAAAAGGAAGAGCTCTTCTCAAGAAAGAAATTCAAGTAACACCTTAACACTTGGGTGAGCTCCCCAGGGACAGAAGGGGCTCTCTCTCTCTACTTCTCCAACCTCCTTCTGAAAAACCTCAGATCAAGAGAAATCAGAGGGAAGGAGAGCTAACCTTCACTCACTGGCCCCATTAGGCATCCACATGGAGTTGGCCTAAAAAAATTTATTTTTGTGATTAGGCAATTAAAAGCATATGGTAAGGAATTTAAACAGTACAAATTATAAACATATGTGTGTGTATGTATATATGTATGTGTTCCTCCCACATCTGACCCTGAATCACCCCATTCCCCCACCCCACCCTTATAGGCAATTACTGTTATAATTTTCATGTCTACCTCCCAGGGAGATTGTATGCATATACAAACAGGTATGTTTTTGACATAAATGGCAGCATACTCTGCAACACTGTTCTGCATCTTGCTTTTCCCCTTTGCTCTTGGTCTGTAAACACGCTTAGGTGGTCCAGTGTGACTGCGCAGCCTCCAAAAGATAAACCAAGCCCAATAACATCCAGTTTCCCGCTTTGTGGGTTCTGGTTCTCCCAGGACCGCCACTTCCACACTGCGCATGCACATCAAGAGTTGGTAAGTGTCCTCAGTGTTGAACGGGTGTCTTTCCTCTCTTCGAGGCAAGCACTTCTCAGGTGTCAGGTAGTGCAGCCTCGGCCTGAGGAAAGCCCCAGCATGCTCTCGAGGATGGCAGCGTTCTGGCAGACAGCAACGGGAAGAGAGAAAGGAAGGGGTGGCTGCCACCAGACTCGTGAATGAAAGCTGCCTTCCCACGCATGGCTGGACCTGCTAAGTTCCATCAGTCCTGAATGGAGCGCCCACTGCGTGCCCAGCCTCGCAGTAGGAGCTGTGGATTCACAAATGGACCTTGCCTTTAAAGGACGCACAGGCGGAATCAACATTACTTCCAGAAAGAGTTCCTTGAACCTGGACCAGATCTAGTCAGCCCCCCTCACCCCTACTCCACCCCTGAGCACCGCGCCAGAGGGGGACCCAGCGGGGGCTGCCACTCATTCATCTCCTGCTGCTGCCACCGCCACCTCCAAGAGACTGTCATTAAAGCTTTGTCCCTGACTCTCTGATTTACATGTACAAATAATCGCTGTCAGGGGCACGAGCCCCAGAGAGCAATAATAGATTCTGGTGGTAGCAGATGCAGATGCAGGAAATAAAAACAAAAATGAAACACACCAGCCTGGCAGAACTCAGTGTTGAGAGAAGTCCTAAGGGGGAAGGGACTGCTGGAGAGGTGGCAGGAGAGGGGCTATCGGATAAAGTATTGATTGGTTGGTCTTCTGCAAAAGCTAGTCTAGGATTTATTTTTAATTGTGGTAACATGTTTACAGCATAAAATATGCCATTTTAACCATTTTGAAGTATACCATT